TGGGCCACATTCCTAAGGGCCCAGCATGTACTTTGGACTGGGCTGCATTCTTTTAAACAGATTTTTAGCTACAGTTAGTGTAGGGATTTTCTACTTGTTACAGAAATTGAATTTACTTTACTCAGAAAGTATCGTAGAATAGGTTATGCTACGTCAGTGAATTATGTTAGTTCAAGCATGATCAAACATGATATTTTAAGGTTTAAAAAGAATACAGCTAAGCCGGGCTCGGTGACTCAGCCTGTAATCTTGTGCCTTTGGGAGGCTGAGGTGAGTGAATTACCTGAGCCCACAGGTTCAAGACCCACCTGGGCAACTTGGTGAGACCTCATCTCTACAATAAAATTAAAAATGAGCTGGGCGTGGTAGCGCACGCCTGTAGTTCCAGCTATTTGGAAGGCTGAGGTGGAAGGATCGCTGGAGCAGTGGCTGGGAGCAGCCACTGCACTCCAGTCTGGGTGACAGAGTGAGACTCCAACTCAAAAAAAAAAAAAAAGAATGCAGCTAACTTTAGAAATTTCATTCTTCCCATTTTCTACTATTGTGGCTTTGGCCTTAGTACAATTCACAGTTTATATTTGGGTTTTATTTTTAGAAGTTTTATTGCTGATAATCAGCTTTATATATTAGGATCAGGAATTAGAAACTTTTATAGAAATTAAGATAGATAGCCGGGCTCTGTGGCTCAGCCTATAATCCCGCGCCTTTGGGAGACTGAGGTGAGTGGATTGCCTGAGCCCGCGGGTTCGAGACCCGCCTGGGCAGCGAGACCTCATCTCTACAATAAATCAAAAAATCAGCTGGGCATGGTAGCGTATGCCTGTAATTCCGGCTACTCGCAAGGCTGAGGCGGAAGGATCGCCGGAGCCCAGCAGGTCGAGGCTGCGGTGGCCGGAAGCGGCCACTGCACTCCAGTCTGGGCAACAGAGTGAGACTCCAACTCAAAAAAAAAAAAGAAATTAAGATAGATATATAGGATTTTAGAATAGCCATTTTGTTAAGAGATTGTAATCAATTATTCCTAGAAACAGCCCAGCGTAATCTTTGGACTGGGCCACATTCTTTAGGAACTGGTTTGAGCTATAATTAAGAGTTTCTATAGTGTAGGTAGAATTAGCACAGAATAGATATTTATTAGTTATTAGGTTTTGTGTATGCACAAGCTTTAGAAGTTATTGATTATTAGAATATTATGATGTTAGAATTGTTGTATTGCTTTTGAGGAACATTAACCAAGCATAAGGAACAGTGAGATAATTGTCCTTCCTCATGCTTGGGAAAACGCCTGGTGGGTGGGGGACGCCCCTCATTCACCTGGCTTTGTGTTCACGTGAAAGTCTTATGATTTAATCTGTGAAAATTTGGGATAAAAGACTTACAGTTTGTCCCATTAAACGGCTTCTGCACTAGACAGAGTCCAGTCTCTTTCTTTCTTTCTTTCATCTTCCCTTCCAATTTCACCAATGCCGCCACATCTTTCCAGGGACTCCCCAAAACCTGCAGGGGTTGGCCCCCCACAAGCTAGAAGTCATCGCACAGCTATCAAGGGCAGCAAAGTCTGTAGGCCTCAGGCTTGTAGTATGGTTCGACTACGAATGCAATCATAGTTTGAGTTGGCGAGGCAGACTAGTAAAGATAAAGTGAGGCTGCGGGCAATTATTAGGGCAGTTGTTCTTATAAAATTTCCTGGTGTCTGAATGAGAATAGCCACAATAACAAGGGCCATATGGCTTACTGAGGAGTAATCAATTAATGATTTTAAGTCTGTTTGATGTAAACAAATAAAGCTGTTATGATTATTCCTCAGAGGGCAAGTATTAGAAGAGGGTAGACTATAAATTCTGTTAAGGGGTTTAGAATTCTTGTCCCTTGCATTATTCCACAGCTGCCAAGTTTTAGTAATATCCTTGCAAGTACCATGAAGCCAGAAATGGGGGCTTCAACATGTGCTTTTTGGAGTCAGAGATGAAGGCCGTATAGGGGCATTTTTACTATAAATACTATTATGCATGCCAGTCAGAGAAGATTATTAGATCAGGAGTTTAGGAATTCTTGGATAACGAAAGTGATGATTCATAGGTTTAATGGCTAGGGAGCTTTGAGTGTGGATGAGTGTGACGAGCCAGGGTAATGAGCCAATCAATGTGTAAAATGGGAAATAAAATCCTGTGTTTAATCATTCTGTTTGATTCCCTCCTCAGGTAATAATAATGAGGGTTGGAATAAGTGTAACTTCGAATAAAAAATAGAATTGAACTAGTTCTGTAGCAGTAAATGTTATAATTAGGAATGCTTGCAGTGAGATTAGTATTGAAATGTAGAGTTTTCTCCTGTTAATGAATCTTTGGATAGATGATTTTGGCTAGCTTTTATTATTCTGGGGAGTAGTTAGGTCATTAAAATTAAAAGGGGGTTGATAATGAATCCACATAAGAGAAGTTTGTGTTGCCATGGTAAAATTGATTTAGGTGGGCAAGAGTAATGAGGCTAGTGATTAGGCTGTGCATGGCGGTGTTAATTACAATGGTAGAGTTTTTGGAATATCACATTATTGGAAGGAATATAATTGTTGGTAAAAATAACTTTTAACATTGGAGGAGGTTTAGGTTTTGTACGTAATCCAGTCTGTATGTGTTGGAGACTATAACCAATACTGCTAAGCCCATAGTGGCTTTGTATGCTGTGAATACTAGAAGAATAATTGGAATGATGTTGGCTAAGGCAAAGTGTAAATTTAGAATCATAAGTGAGCCTGTGATGAATATTGATAATATTATACCTTCAAGACATAGCAGAGAAGATAGAAGGTGTGATTGGTAGATCAGATGTGACAAAGGCTAGAAGCATGTTCATGTAGATGGAGGGCATGTTGGCGATTATAAGTTCATAATTTAAAGAGTCAAAATCATTTGTTTTATTTTAAACAAACCACCATATTCGACTCATTTTAGTCCTTTTTTGATTCATTCATAGGCAAGTCCTAGAGCTAAAATAGAAATTAAGATAAGAGCCATAATTAGATGAGTTTAAGACTATCTGTTTGGAAGGCTCAGGGGAGGGCAATTTCTAGATCCAAAAAGTAGGAGGGCAAATTGAAATTGAAATTTCTAGATCAAATAAGAGAACTATAATAGCCACCAGGAAAAATTGTATTAAAGAAGGTAGGGCATGGCAGCAAAGGGACGCCGGCCTCACGCAATTGGTCTGTCCTTTTAATAGAAGAAAATGGAAACCGAACAGCCAGAGGAAACCTTCCCCAGCACTGAGACTAATGGTGAATTTGGTAAATGCCCTGCAGAAGACATGAAAGAGGAACAAGCATTTAATATATCTAGAAACACTGATGAGATGGTTGAATTGCGCATTCTGCTTCAGAGCAAGAATGCTGGAGTAGTGATTGGAAAAGGAGGCAAGAATATTAATGCTGTCCGAACAGACTACAATGCCAGTGTTTCAGTCTCAGACAGCGGTGGCCCTGAGTGCATATTGAGTATCAGTGCTGATACTGAAACAATTGGAGAAATTCTGAAGAAAATCATCCCTACCTTGGAAGAGGGCCTGCAGCTGCCATCACCCACTGCAACCAGCCAGCTCCCGCTCGAATCTGATGCTGTGGGATGCTCAAATTACCAACACTATAAAGGAAGTGACTTTGACTGCGAGTTGAGACTGCTGATTCATCAGAGTCTGGCAGGAGGAATTATTGGGGTCAAAGGTGCTAAAATTCAAGAACTTCGAGAGAACACTCAGACAACAATCAAGCTTTTCCAGGAGTGCTGTCCTCATTCCACTGACAGAGTTGTTCTTATTGGAGGAAAGCATGATAGGGTTGTAGAGTGCATAAAGATCATCCTTGATCTTATATCTGAGTCTCCCATCAAAGGATGTGCACAACCTTATGATCCCAATTTTTATGATGAAACCTATGACTATGGTGGTTTTACAATGATATTCGATGACCGCCGTGGACGTCCAGTGGGATTTCCGATGCGGGGAAGAGGTGGTTTTGACAGAATGCCTCCTGGTGGGGGTGGGTGTCTTATGCCTCCTTCTAGAAGAGATTATGATGATATGAGCCCTCGTTGAGGACCACCGCCACCTCCTCCTGGACGAGGTGGCCGGGATGGTAGCAGAGCTCGGAATCTTCCTCTTCCTCCACCACCACCACCTAGAGGAGGAGATCTAATGGCCTATGACAGAAGAGGAAGACCGGGAGACTGTTACGATGGCATGGTTGGTTTCAGTGCTAACGAAACTTGGGACTCTGCAATAGATATATGGAGCCCGTCAGAATGGCAGATGGCTTATGAACCACAGGGTGCCTCTGGATATGATTATTCCTATGCAGGGGGTCGTGGCTCTTATGGTGATCTTGGTGGACCTATTATTACTACTAAAGTAACTATTCCCAAAGATTTGGCTGGATCTATTATTGGCAAAGGTGGTCAGCGGATTAAACAAATCCGTCATGAGTCGGGAGCTTCGATCAAAATTGATGAGCCTTTCGAAGGATCCGAAGATCAGATCATTACAATTACCGGAACACAGGACCAGATACAGAATGCACAGTATTTGCTGCAGAACAGTGTGAATTTTTTCTAAGACTAGTGAAGAACTGAAGGAGTCCTGCATCTTTTTTTTAATCTGTTTCTGTTTAAAAAGCCAACATTCCTCTGCTTCATAGGTGTTCTGCATTTGAGGTGTAGTGAAATCTTTGCTGTTCACCAGATGTAATGTTTTAGTTCTTTACAAACAGGGTTGGGGGAGGGGAAGGGTGTGTAAAAACTAACACTGAAATTTTGAAACAGCAGCAGAGTGGATTTTATTCTTGTTCATTGTTGGTGGTTTAAAAAAATTCCTCCCATGCAATTATTGTGAACACCTTGCTTTGTGGTCACTGCAACATTTGGGGGGTGGGACAGGGAAGAAAAATAACAATAGTCCACATGCCCCTGGCATCTGTTCAGAGCAGTGTGCAGAATGTAATGCTCTTTTGTAAGAAACGTTTTATGATTTTTAAAATAAATTTAGTGAACCTATTTTTGGTGGTCATTTTTTTTTAAGACAGTCATTTTTCAAGTAGTGACTGAATTTCCCAGTCAACCCCCAAACTAAACACTAAGTTTGATTTTTCAGTTTCTGTTAGATGTATAATTGCATCTTTTGGACACAGGCAAAATAACTTGGCAAATTTGGTTCTGGTAATTTCTTGATAGTTTGCAAGTCTATTGCTGGGAAGAAATTCCATCATACATATTCATGCTTATAATAAGCTGAGGATTTTTTGTTTGTTTTTGCAAATGCTTGCTCCTACTTTTCACCAATTTTCTATGTTAGTAGTTGTGAAGAACTAAGGTGGGGAGCAGTACTACAAATTGAGTAATGGTATTAGCATATACCAGAAGCCTGATTGGAAGTAAGTTTTACTAATCAGAATAACACTTGGTTATGGAAGTGACTGATGATGAATAAATTCTGATTATTTTTTACTAGATAATTTCTCATCTATAGTCTTAAACTGTCAACTTGCTAGTGTCTATTAGTTAAACTTTATTATATATATATATATATTCTTGTTTTTCCATTGTATGCAAGTTGAAAGAAAAAGATGTACCATTTTTCTGTTGTATGTTGGATTATGCAGGAAATGTTTCAAAAAAAGATGAAAAAGTTCCTGTGGATGTTTTGTGTAGTATCTTGGCATTTGTATTGATAGTTTGAAATTCACTTCCAAATAAATAAAACCCCCATGATGCTTAAAAAAAAAAAGAAGGTAAAGGGGCCGGGCACAGTGGCTCAAGTCTGTAATCCCAGCAATTTGGGAGGCCAAGACGAGTGGATTGCCTGAACCCATGGGTTCAAGACCAGCCTGGGCAACTTGGCAAGACCTTGTCTCTACAATAAATCAAAAATTAGCCAGGCATGATAGTGTGTGCCTATAGTTCCAGCTACTTGGAAGGCTGAGACGGAAGGATCGCCGGTGCCCAGCAGATCGACGCTGGGGTGGCTGTGAGTGTGCCACTGCACTCCAGCCTAGGTGACAGAGTGAGATTCCAACTAAAAAAAAATGGTAAGTGAGTAGAACCTATTGGATCAAAACCACATTCTTAGGGGCTGGATTTTCCTGTATATACATTCATTTGGGAAAGTCAGAATGTGATGGTAACCACTTAGTATGGCATCTGTAATTAAAGATATTGCTAGGTTGATTTTTCTTTTCTGGGTTGTTACCAGAGCTTCCAATCAGTTATTTTATCATTTGTTTGAGTACAAATTGCACTAGTCATTGTACTGAGTCTAACTGATCATTAACTAGGTGGCTGGGGGCTGGAAATAATGTGTTTGGGAATAGAATAATTAAGACTACTACTGGGAGTCCTCTTATTGTTGGGGTAATAAAGGAGGCAGGTAAATTTTCATTCATTTTAGTACTCAAGGGGTTTCATGCTTTTGTGTCTTGACCATTTTGGGGTTTGGGCTCATAGGATAAACAAATTTTTAAATTTTTAGCTGAAATATAATGAAAAGTGTTAGGACCATAGAGTTAATAGTAATAAACCATGTTGTTGTATCTAGTTGAAGCATTTCACTGTGGAAAGATTAAGACTTTATATCCTTAATGTAAAAGGTTAATGTTGTAAGCTTCATAGTGATATTATAATATAGATGCTGATCAGTTCTCGAAGTATTTAAGTGGAATCAGCTCTAGGCTGGTGGGTATAAAACTATGACTGGAGTCACAGATTTCTGAACACTGCTCATGATAAAGGCCTGGTCAAGTTGACGTTAAGGTTGCTTGATTGAGGCGTCCTGAAATTGCATCTGTTTGTAAGTCTAATGATGCAATAGCTCATGAGTAAAGAATGTCTTCTGATGAAATTAGCATATGGACTGTATTCCCATAGGTAGTACTACTTGGTTATTGACTTCTATTTGTTGGAGTTCTCCTGGTTTAAGGTCTGTTGTGGGGATTATATATGAATCAAAGTTTAAGTCTTCGTAATCTGTATTTCATAGCTTCAGTATCATTGGTGACCTATGGTTTTGACATTTAAAGAGGGGTTTTGATTTCATCTATTATATACAGGATTTGTAGAGATGGGAGAGCAATTAAGATAAAAATAATAGCTGGTAAATTCGTTCACACTGTTTCTACTTCTTGGGCATCTATTGTGCTTGTGTTTGTTTATTTAATTGTTAATATAGGGGAAATAATATAAATAACTAATGAACGGATTAAGAAAATAATTATTAGTGTGTGGTCATAAATGTGTAGGAGTTCTATAATAGATAAGGTGGCATCTTGAAATTTTAGTTGGAATGGATATGCCATTAAGATATATAGTGTTTCAACCCATGAATTAACTTGACAAAGTTATGTAACGTCTTTGCTTAACTTGTTGATTAAGAAAATCATAATGATTATGGAATTGGCTTGAAACTAGTTCTGAGGAGTTTGATTCCTTCCTTTCTTGTCTATGCATGTGAGTAGGTTGTTTAAATGTGTGATAGGACGGAGGGTAGCCGTGGAGTCATTAAAAGCTTGTAGTTGATAGTTCAACTGTTAAAACTTCTCATTTTGAGATGAAGGCATTCCAGACTATAAAAATTATTAGTGTTACTGCTGTAAGTGAAATAAATCATCCTATGGATGAGATGGTATTTCATACAGTTATATGCTTCAGGACAGTCAGAATATCATTGATGAATTCCAAGAAAGTATTGAGGTAAAAATGTCAGGTTGACTCCCTACAAGTATAATTGTGAAATGAATGTTAACCCAAGTTGAGTGACGTGTATAGCCTGAAAATGGGGGAAATCAGTGGACACAACCTCCTATAATAGCGAATACTGCTCCTATTGATAGCACATAGTGGAAGTGGGCTACAACATAGTATGTGTCGTGAAGGACAATATGAAATGATAAATTAACTAGAACAATTCCTGTCTGGCCTCTGACTATAAACAGAAAAATAAAGCCTAGAGCTCACAATATAGCAGATGATCATTTAATACTACCTCCGTGCAAGGTTGCTAATCAGCTGAATACCTTCACATCTGTGGGAATAGCAATGATTGCAATAGCCAATGTAAAATATGCTCAGGTATCTATACCTATCCCACTGTAAATATATGTTGTGTTCATACAATGAAACCTAGGTTACCAATAAACATTATGGCTTATACTATTCCCATACAGCCAAATGGTTCCTTTTATGAAGTAGTATGCTACAAAGTAAGAATTTATCCCAAATCCTGGAAGAATAAAAATATTAGCCTCTGGGTGACCAAAGAATCAAAATAGATGTTGATAGAGGATGGGGTCACCCCTCCAGCTGGATCAAAGAAAGATATGTTGAGGTTTCGGTCTGTTAATAGCATAGTAATCCCAGCGGGTAAGACTGGAAGAGACAGAAGAAATAAGACCGCAGTAATTAATATGGATCATACAAATAGAGGAGTTTGATATTGCAGTATAGCTTGGGGTTCATATTAATAATAGAGGTAATAAAATTAATTTCACCTAAAATTGATGATCCCCTTGCCAGATGAAAAGATGGTGAGGTCTATGGAATTCCCTGCATAGGCTAAGTTTCCTGCTGGTGGAGGATCAACAGTTCATCCTGTGCCTGCACCAGCTTCGACTATTGAGGAGGCAAGTAATAGCAGAAAGGAAGGGGAAGGATCAAAAGCTGATGTTATTTATATGTGTGAATGCCATAGCAGGTGCTCCAATTGTGAGAGGAACTAGTCAATTGCCAAAACCACCAATCATATTACTATAAAGAAAATTATGACAAAGCATGGGCAGTGACAATCACATTGTAGATCTGAACATCCTATAATAGGACCCCTCGTTGGCTGGGTTCTGCTTGGATTAAAAGACTAAAGGTTAGCCGGGCTCGGTGGCTCAGCCTGTAATCCCGCACCTTTGGGAGGCTGAGGTAAGTGGATTGCCTGAGCCTGAGGGTTCGAGACCCGCCTGGGCAGGCAAGACCTCATCTCTACAATAAATCAAAAAAAATTAGCTGGGTGTGGTAGCGTGCACCTGTAGTTCCCGCTGCTTGGAAAGTTGAGGTGGAAGGATCGCCGGAGCCCAGCAGGTCGAGGCTGCGGTGGCCAGGAGTGGCCACTGCACTCCAGTCTGGGCGACAGTGAGACTCCAACTCAAAAAAAAACAAAAAAAAGACTAAGGGTTGTTCTATTTCAGTGAGGCACCAAGTAGCAGGTACAGTGTGCCAATGTCTTTATGGCTTGTTGAGAATATTCAAGTAGAATAGCTGAGTAATCTAAAGACAGAGATTAAACCCTCTTTTTACAAAAAAAAAAAAAAAAAGCCCTGAAATGAAAATATCATATTGAATTGCAAATTCAAGGAACAGCTTCAATTCTGGCTGGGCTTCTCCCACCTTTTTTTTTCCTAGGTAGCAGGGGAGGTAGAGTAAAGCCAGTTAATTAGGGTATTTAGCTGTTAACTAAATTTTCATGGGGTTAGAGTTCACCAATCTAGTAAGGACTTAGCTTCATTAAAGTAACTGATTTGCGTCCAGGTGATGTAGAGTTGTGCAGTCCTGAAGTTGAGGGTACAGGAATTAAGCATAATTACTTACTTGGGGCTTTGAAGACTCTTGGTCTATTTAACCCAAATTCCTAATCCAGTAGTAGGAATATTGGTGAGAGTAGTAAAAGTTAGGTTGATAAGGTAATGAGTGGTGGTAGAAATATAATTTGATTTGTACTTTATTTATTTTTCTTTTAGTTGGAGTCTCACTCTGTTACCCAGGCTGGAGTGCAGTGGCACGCTCACAGCCACCACAGCCTCGATCTACTAGACTCAGGCGATCCTTCCGCCTCAGCCTTCCAAGTAGCTGGACAACAGGCATGCGCTACCACGTTCAGCCATTGTTTGGTTTTTTTTTTTTTGTAGAGACAATGTCTCACCAAGTTTCCCAGGCTGGTCTCAAACCCCTGAGCTGGCCTGTTTTGTACTTTTAAACTGTCATTTTATTTTTATATTGTTGCCCCCTGGGAATATTGT